ACACACACACACACACACACACACACACACACACACACTCTATCAATCAATGACCGTGTGTGGCTGACGAGCTCCAGCGTTAGAGGAAAAACTCCCCACTTGATGCTGTTCGACCTCATCTCATAGAACAAACTTGGAGAGATCCATCTTGTGCAGGAGATCTCCGACGGCTCTCCTCACATACTCCTTGTCGATAACCCACTCCTGTCCTGCTCTCTCAGGCGCATGGAAGCTGATGTCTTCCACCACTCTCTCAATGACCGTGTGCAGGCGACGAGCTCCTATGTTGTCCAGGGATCTGTTCACCTCTGCAGCCACTGCTGCGAGCTCGAGTATCGCCTCGTCGGTAAATATCAGCCGTATATTTTCCGTCTCCATCAGGCACTCCTGCTGCTTAATCATGTTCATTTCCGGTTCTGTCAAAACTCTATACAGGTCCTCCCTTGTGAGGCCCTTCAGCTCCACCCGAATGGGCAGCCTTCCCTGCAGCTCTGCCAGCATGTCACTTGGTTTGCAACTATGAAATGCTCCGCTGCAGATGAACAGGATGTGATCGGTGTTTACGTTCCCGTACCTAGTGTTCACTGTGCTTCCCTCAATGATCGGTAGCAAATCACGTTGCACTCCTTCTGAGCTCGCATCTGCCCCATGCCTGGTATCGCTATTTGTGACGATCTTGTCTATCTCGTCTATGAACACTATGCCGTCCGATTCAGCCAGCAGGATTGCATCCTTGGTGATTTGATCTGAGTTTAGATACTTCTCCATCTCTATCTCCCCCAACAGCGGAATGGCTTCACCAATCGTTAACTCGCGTTTCTCCGCTTTACCTCGAAACATCTTGCCTATGATCTCGTTGAGAGAGACGCTCCCAGCAGGTGAGTCGATGGGCAGCCGTACTCGGCTGTCGGGTATGTCCAGGGTTATCCTGCGATCATCAAGTAACCCGTTGTCCAGAGACTTCTTAAACTCTTCACGTGTCCTGGTTCGAACCTTCGGCGCAACGTACTCCTCAGAAGCATGCTCTTGACCAACAAGAAGATCGAGGAGCTTCTTTTCCACCGCCTCCCGCACCTCTTCTTTCACCTTCACCCTCACCTTTTGCTTCTGCAGTTGAATTGCTGCGTCGACCAAATCTCTGATGATCTGATCGACGTCGCGACCGTGGAATCCGACCTCGGTGAACTTAGTGGCTTCGACCTTGACAAAGGGAGCATCCGCAAGCTTTGCCAGACGGCGAGCGATCTCTGTCTTCCCACACCCAGTGGGGCCAATCATCAAGATGTTCTTTGGAACAATTTCCTCCTTCATCGGACTTTTAATCCGATGTCTTCGCCATCGATTTCGCAATGCCACTGCTACGGCTCGTTTGGCCTCTTCCTGTCCAACGATGTGACGGTCAAGTAACTCCACGACCTTTGATGGAGTTAGGGTGTCTGCAGTTGGTTTTCGGCAGTCTTGCTCCGGCAGATCCGTAAGGTCGCAAGGCACAGAACTGTAGTTGCAAATCCTTTGTTGCCCTTGTGAAGCCGTGACTGGTAGCATAAGGAGCGATCCCTGACGGCAGATTCGACACCCAAGGGCCACTAATGAACGATGCATGTATGCCGCCATCTCTCTCTCTCTCTCTCTCTCTCTCTCTCTCTCTCTCTCTCTCTCTCTCTCTCTCTCTATCTATCTATCTATCTATCTATCTATCTA